CTTATTTTTATCATCATTTAGAAAATTTTATGTTATATCACATTTGACTCGAAATATATATTAATTTTTTATTTTATGCTATTATAGATTCTTTTAAAAATTGACGAACAAATAAATATAAATAGTTTTATCGTTTTAATAATTAATAAAATAAACTTAAAAAGTTAATATCTTAAAAATTATGAATTTTGTTAGAAAAATGTTATATTATCAGTATTCAAAATTCAAATTTTAATTTATAATTTGAAAAGTATTATTATTGCTTAAGATTAAATATATAAATTAATTTTCTATAGGTATATGTGTGCAGGATTTTCTATAAAATTTCGATAAATAAAAATTTTTTTTATAAATTTAATAAAATAAGGAAAGAAAAATACATGATAATCAATTTTTTTTTAAAAATTAAACTTTTAATTTTTTATTTATATTATTATTTTTTTGTATATTTACTTTTGAATGAAAAACTAATCAATAAAATACATATGAATTTCATACAAATTTTTTATGAATAATATATATTATTCACTATATACAATAGTCAATTAATATATAATATATTCAAAATATCTAATCATATCATCTAAATTACATAATTCAAAATCTGTGTGGTTTCATATTCATTATAAAAGAAAATTAATAAAAGATATAAATTTTTTGAGATACTTAGATAATTTATTATCAATAATTGATAATAAAATGATCAAGTGATTATGATATAATAATAATTATCAATGTAGTATTATATCTGCAAAAAAAAATTTTTATTACAAAATAAATCAATTTAATTATTAATTTTGTAGTATTATTATTAATTTATATATTGTAATAGTGATCCTGCACAATTATATTTAACATTATTAAGCATTATAAATTTATTATTATTATATTAAATTTATTATATTTATCATAAATTATATTTTATTTAATATTAATAAATAATCATTATTTATTACTATCTTTATATAATGTATACTGTACAAATTTACATATTTGTGTTAAAATAAATATAATAAAAATAAGTAATATTAAAATAAAAATTGTGTTCCTAAATATTTTGTTATATGTTTCAATAATTTTAAAAAAATCTGGTAAATCAAAAATCAAAGTTGAAAAATTAATATCATATTTTGGTTTAATAATNTAACTTAAATTTATTGTCATATACATTCATTATTATTATATAACATTCACATATATAATTAAAAATTATTCATATGTTTCCCAAGGTTTCTCTGGATGAACAAATATACCAGGTTTTGGAACTTTATATCTTTCTGGTTCTTTTAAGCAAATTCCACATTCTGATAATGTATCTAATAGTAATTGTACTTTATTTCCAATAACAATTGAATCGTTAACATAAATTTCAGATATACCACTTTCCAAGCAACGTTGTGCAAGCACACGTCCTACAAATTTGTAGGCTGTAGCATCGTGTGTGCTAAAATATTAAAATAAATTTATAAAACTTTTTTATTTTATATTTTAACATATTTATTTATTAATATTTTTTTAATTTCTATAACTTTACAATTTACAATAAATAAAAAGGGTTATATTATTTATATTCAAAAATTAAAAAATTTTAAATATTTTCTAAATATATATCAAGTATCAATAATTGAATTTATATATAAACTTATATACAAACCTAAATAATTGTTTTTTTATTCCCCATTCTTTACTTGAGACTGTAATAATAGGACCATTTTCAAAATGATGTATTTCTGTTATAATATTACGCTGAGTGCTATATATTTCGAGTCTAAATAAATTTTTAAAATGATATATGAATATTAATGAATATTATTTTATATGAATATTAAAAAAATAAAATTAGAAAGTATTAGAAAATATGAATTAAAATTTTTTAATATAAAATATTATTGAGGTTATAATGAAAAAAAAAATCACATAATAATTATAATAATATAATAATTATATCTTACTTATGCCAAAATGTAATTTTACGTGTATCAAGGACATAACCTATTGGTTTTCTGGCGATTCTTAAACGTTCTAAATTTCGTGGATTACGGTTTATGATTTCTTTACACTTCTCTATTATTTCTGCATTTCCATGTATTTGTCTTTTAATTAAATTATTTAAAGATATTCGAAACATTTTAAAATTTTGAAATATATAAATAATCTTATCTATTCAAATATTAATAAAATGCACCTATATTTTCAATTAAAGTCTTAATAATTTTAAATATTTTGAGATATATAATCATAAATTATAACAACTTGGTTAACTTTCCTCGCAACAATGCTTGATGATGAATAATATTTTCATAATATCTATATATATTGAATTATTTAAATTTAATGCAATTAAAATAATAAAAAATTAAATATAAAAATTGTTATATAAATATAAAATTTTACTTAACAAAACTTATACATTATATAAATGTATATACATATATACTTAAAATTATTTCAATTATTTTAAACAATTATGATATAAGAATAATAATTATCATGAAAACTTAAAATATTTGTAATTCAAAATAACAAATAAATAAATAAATATATATATACATATATGTATATATATATCATTTAAATAAATTTTTTTTCAAATTTTGAATTTTTATTCAGAGGCAGCACAATCTACAATCCTTTATAGGGATACAATCTTCATATCTAATATTTTGTTTTTCTAAGTTTTAAACATAACCAACTTATATATGAAAAATGAGAATTAAGAATAAATGTATGCTTTACAATTAAACAAATGTTAATTAGCAATAAGAAAATTTTATATTATTAAGAAATAAAAATTAATTTTAAAATGGGTACTGTAGAATATGGTTTTCCAATGGTTGGTGGTTTAATGCCAGTAAGTATAAATGAAAAAAATATAATTAATTTATATATAAAATTATATCATGCATATAATTTTGTAAATATATTTATAATATATTTATATTTATATTTTAAATATTTGACTTCAATTTTTAATTTTTATATTGTTAGCAAATTCAAGCTCTTATAGCACCACCTGTATCAGAAGATTCTAAAACAGCAAAAAATAAGAAAGATAAGGAAGAAAAAAAGCATCCATATTTTAAAAGAAGAGGACGTGGTCATAATCGTGATATTTGTGATGCTTGTCGAGATGGAGGAGAACTTATATGCTGTGACAAATGTCCTGCATCATATCATTTACAATGCCAGTGAGTTTAAATATTTGAAAATAAAAGAAATGGAAATCAATTTTTCTTATTTTTGAAATATATTTTATATTATTTTGAAATTGTTAAATCTTATTTATATAATCATTTTAGTTATCCAGCTGTGGATCCGGCAGATATTCCTAATGGAGAATGGTTGTGTTATGCTTGTCGCTGTGCATCAAAAAGAAATCTTTTAGATAATAAAGGAAATGAAAAAAACAAAAAAAAATCTGCATTAGAAATGCTAGCTTTAGCAGCATCTTTAGTTAATCCCAGAGAATTTGAATTACCTAAAGAATTGCAATTACCAATTATGTTTCCTGGTAGTAATAAAATAGATTATGTTTCAGGTAGAAGAGGAAAGCAACAAAGTGGAAGTAATAATGGTATATATTATTAATTTTTTATAAGTAATTATTATACAAATTATTTTTAACTATAAAATATTTTTTTCTTAGTAGGAAAAAGTCATTGTTTAGATAACAATTTAATGGTACCTTTGCCAGCACGATTGTGCTTTGAATGTGGTCGTAGTTGCAGAAAAGCACCTTTAATTGCATGTGATTATTGTCCATTATATTTTCATCAAGACTGTTTAGACCCACCACTCACAGCTTTTCCAATTGGAAGATGGATGTGTCCTAATCATCCAAATCATTTCATAGATCAGAATTTATTAACATCATGTAGAGTAACAGAACGTATTAAACTCTGGGACAAATATGCTAATCAACGTATAGATCAACATGCTGTAAAATTGGACTTTTTGCGGAAAGCACGTGCAACAAATCCACTTTTTCGTACAAAAATTAAATTAGAAGGTCGTACAAGAGTAAAGGTACCGTGTTCTGTTAAATTTCATTATGAACATCCACCAGAATTAGATCCTATACAATTTTATCATGATGCTGTTATAAGACCAGTGATTAAAGATAAAAATATGCAAAATATAGAAAATAATGATAATAAATCTCCTAAAATAGAAAATACAGAAGTACAAAATTTGGGAGAATTAATGGAAGTAGAAAATGAAATTGAAGAAAACAATGAAATAAAAGAAGAAATTAATTTAGAAGAGACAAATAGCATGGAAATTAGTATTAAACAAGAAGAAAAAATAGAAGAAAAAAATACAATTGAAATTAAATGTGATGATAATAATAGTACTGAATATTATGCAGAACAATATGGCTATGATGTAAAAGAAGGTATACAGTTACTTGAACGACCAGTTTTGGAAATATTGGCATTACAACGTTTAGAACAAATATTAGATCCAGATGGAGAAAATTATGATATAATTAATTGCCAAATGAAAGCCAGAGCAGCATTGTTTTCTTTAAATCACAAACCTAAACCACCAGCTTTTATGGTTCATAAAACATTAACTATTGGAAGTGGTCCAAATTGTGATTTAGTTTTATCTAATTATGGTAACTGTAATTTTACATCCTCAAAACACGCTATTATTTTCTTTGATGAGGTGATAATAATTATTTTAACGTTAATTTCGTTAAATGTTAAGGGACATTAAGGACATAATATTATCTTAATTATTTATATTTTTTTATTTACAGAGTACCAAACGTTATGAATTATTAAATTATAGTGAATATGGAACAGTGGTTGATAATGTACTTTATTCTTGTAACTACACAGGTGTTATAGAACAAGTAAAGGAAGAAATTGATGATAAATTGCAATCAATGAGTAAAGAGCAAGAAACAACAGATGCAGTAAAAGCTATTATAAAAGAAAAATTATTGTCTCAAGATCAAATAGAAGATCAAAAAGTATTATGTAAATGTAATTCAACAAGATTAGAGACAAAAAATAAAAATCATTTAGAAGAGGGATGGGAAGGAAGTGCTATTGTTGCTCATGGATCAACATTGACATTTGGATGTCTAATGTTTGTATTTAATACGATAAATGCACATTTAGAACGATGAATTATTATAATGTAAATATTTTATTATTTTTATGTACAGATATTTTCGTAAATCAACGTTAATTAAATTAATGAAATAAATTTTTTTATTTGACATTATTTTCATCTCACAGGTATTAGAAAATAAATTTTAAAGAATGTTTTATAAAAATATTTTATTGAGTAAAATCATTCTTATGTATTTGTATTATAACTTGTATCTTTATCATCATCTTCAATAAGTTCATCAAAATCTTTAATTTTAACATCAGCATCCTCTCCATATTGAATAATATTATCAATTGTTAATTTAATATCTGCAATACTTTCTTCATTTTTGATATTTAATGGATAAAAACGTACTAAGCTGTAATCTTCTATAAGCCTTCCTATTGCTTCAGTAAGATTCCTATATTTTTCATTCCAAGGATCTTTCTCCATATCTGCCAATAAACTATGTGGATCAGGTTCTAAATATTTGTCTAGTTGTTTCTTTGCACTTTTTGATAATAAGTCCATTTTACTAAGTATATTAATATGTGGTAATTCTAAATTTATCATTACACTAAGTGCAGCCATTGTACCAGATAAAAATTTTGATCCATCAACCATAAATTGACTATCTATTAGAAATATTCCACATATACGAAAATTGAGATTTTGTAACATTGTTATTAACTGACGAATGACTGTCATATGTGTATATAATTCTATCTGACCTGGACAATCAAAAATAATATAATCATCGTCCACATCACCTAATTTTTCTTCTAACCATGATGAGTTTTCTATTAAATACCTATATAGTAAAATTTAATGAGAAATTTTGTATCTTATATCTATAATTTTTATATCTTACAAAACAATTTATTTCATGAACTTACTCCATACAAAATATAAGACCACCATTTGGTCCAAATCTTAATTCATCATCTTCCATTGCATCATCTAATTGAATTAATTCTCTTATATCAACTAAAGGTTCATAATCAAAATATTCTGCTGCTGGATCTAAGTTTACTACTTCTATTATTTTCCTTTCATCTACTGCATGTTGTTGCATAGCAGAACAATATGTAGACTATGTAAAAAAAAAATTATACATTAATAATAATAATAAAAATAAATAATAAAAATAATAAAAATATAAATAAAATAAAATACATAACTTATACTTAAAAAAAAATATAAATATCATTTTATCATTATATTAATATAACTATAAATTTATTTTCACATTTTTAATAAAATATAATTGCAATTCAATAAAATACATATACATTATTCATACATAATATACATTTTAAAATTATAAATTTAAATAAAAAAGAAAAAGAAAAATATAATACCTTTCCGCTACCGGCTGGTCCCATTACAAGTTGTCCATATCTCATTTTGATCGTTTTTAAATTAATATTAAATGAAATAACCTCTGTCTAACCTCAATTATTAAAAGTTGAATCACATTTGAGAGAAGTTTAAGGTTATCAAATTTAAGGATTTTGTAAAATATATAGGTTAGGATTTCAGTTTGCACGATATAATTTTTTCAATGAAATAAAACTTTAATTATAAATATATAAATATTTTGAATTTTTTTGCTAAAAATGGATAAAAAATAAAGATTATAAATTTTTATATATCAAATTTTCAATATATGTTTATTATAAATAATACAATAATACATTTTAAATAATACAAATTTATGTATATATTTTTTAATAAATAATAGTTTTAATACTATCAATAGATCAGATAATTTTCATTTTTTTTTATTGTGAATTTATAATAAAATTATAAAATATTACAAAAATAAAATGAATTCTAAATAAATGCAAATAATCTTAATTCTTAAATTTTATAAGATTTAATTTAATTAAAACTACATTTTATAGTATTTTATATAATTTAAGTTGTTTTAAAATGATCATCTGTACTTGTTGTATATATATGACCTTCAGAAACTAAAAATTCTATGATATTATCTACATCTGATAAAATTGATTTTGGAACTTTTTTCTTAATCTCAGATCTTTCAATACCACATTCAGTATCATTTTGTGCATAAATAATTTTATAAACTAAACTTTGTTGTGATGACATTCCATAATGAAGATCATCTTCATTTGATACTTCATTTGTTGTAGTATTCTTTTTTAATTTCCTGTTTTTATTAAGCTTTGCTTCAGCTTTCAATGAAGCATGAATAACTTCAAGAATATGATTTGTTAATTCATTTAAGTTTTGTAATGGCAATAATCGTAAAATTAAAATATGACGTTTATCATTTTGTTCTCTAAGCATACCAACTATACGAACATATGTATTTACTTCTGCTACACGATCTGTTTCTTGTTTATTTGCCTCTAACCACTTGAGTGCAGTTATAGTACCTGAACGTATTAAAAATTGAATAAAGAATTAAAAGAAAAAACATAAAAAAAAAAATGTAACTATTTAAACGAAACCTGTATCATCTTCAATATCATATGATATTTTTGTTGCCGTTTCTTCAACATTACGTATTAATCCAACAAACGTAAATATACGTGCTTTAATGCCCCAAAATGTTGGGTCTTCGATAGGAGAAATAGAATGTAACAATTTTATTGTAACTGGAATAAGAGTTTGTACTCTTTGTATATTTCCACCTTGTCCATCTTTCCGAGTATTATTCAGAAATCCACCATCAGAATTTATACTGGTATTTAAATTTGTTGACCACATATTGAATTTCAATTAAGTTTAGTTAAACTTTTAAACTTCACACTTTTAAACTTTCGACAAATGGCTGAAGATCGAAAAGTATTAGTTAGAATAAATAAATTTACGCGCGAAAATATAACCATGATTTATGTAAAGACTAGATTTATAATTGAAAAATATATGTACAAATTTATAATATTCATTTTTATAATTACAAATTTTATATAATATATATTACATTTTATATATTCTTATATATTTTATATATATATATTATTTATATATATTTTTATATATATAATATATATAATATATAATATATATAAATTTGGTTTGTATTAAAATATTTAATTTAAATTTATTTATA